ATTTTAGTTATTTCACTTTTCCGGATCTGAAAAGGATGCGCAAGAGCAGGGGGGGGGAGTACACTGGCATTTGTCTGAACAGATAAGAGAAAAGGATGAGCTCTTCCAGACTACCTGAGGGAGAGAATGATAGAAGGCAGAACATTTTGCCATTGCTCTATGAAAAGTTGGCTTCCAAAGCTTTTTATATTCCAAACGCAGTATGTAAATGTTACATATTGCATTAAAAGAGAGGGTAGATTTTGCAAGCAATTGAAACGACCTTTTTTTTACCCCTTACATCAAAATCGCTGTGGCAGAATTTATTTCGGACTTTCTGCGATATACCTCTCTAATACTAATATCTTTCTGCAAGGTACTTCTAAAAATAACAAATATCAGGAGTCTGCTTAGAAGAAATTTGGGTCCGTTAACGGACCCTTCACAAAATACCTTTTCATAAAAAAGAACCCTTCACAAAATATTTTAAATTAAAAACGGACCCTTCACAAAATGATTTTTCTTTTAATCGGAATCTTCACAAATTTGTTTATCTTCATTAGTGTTTTGTTAATCGAATAAACCCTTCCCAGGGGCGAAAACAAGAAAGATGGATGTAAACGAATTAAGTTTTGTCTCCGGCAGACGCTTCTTCTTTTATTTGTCCGAAATGAATATTCTGCGTTCAGCAGTATAGGCTAATTACCAAATATTTGTATGTTGCATCTCTAATTTTAAAGCAGCAATTGCTGTTTATTTTTGAAAATTTAATTTTTTTATTATAATTTTACAGTGCCGAGCATAATCTTGTATCTATTTACAATTTAAAAAGTCCTTGAAAAAGTTTTTTGCAATAACCGGACCCTATTTGCACAAATTCATAAAAGCAGGACCCTGGTTGAAAGAATGTGACTTAACGCTTATTTAATATTCATAAATTACGAGAAATTTTTTCACAATTTTACAAAAACCGGACCTTTCACAAAATGACTGGACAGACCCCTGAATATACTTGCTACTAATTTAAAGTAACAAAAGCGTCAACTTAAAAAAAAAGGGTTAAAATAAAATAATATAACTTTTTTATTTGAATATGTAATTTTTTTTTTTATTCTAATATTATGACCGATATTCTGGCATTTTGTAGGGGGGGGGGAAACACACTCATTATTTCTTTTTCGCATTTTGTAAATCATCTCAGTAAAAACAAATTAAAAAAAAATCGTGAAATCCGTAACGGTAACTACTAAAAAAAAAAAGCGACTGCGAAACCACGCGAATCGGACTCTTCGAAAAGAGGTTACTAAACGCGTGTTTTCATTCCGTGGTTCGAAATCAATAGTAATAACTACATAAAGAAATAGAACGAAAATTTCTACAGAAAAGAAAACCATAATTTTTTACTTCATTACTCTTTATATTTCATTATTCTCAAATTTAAATATAAAAATCGCAAGCATTTTTAACTACTCCGAAGGCATCTTTTGAATATAATTCAGAAGAAAAGATAAAATAAGAAAAGATAAGACAGAAAAAAAAAATTTTTTACTTCCCTAAGGAAAAATCTTTCCGCAAGAACTCAGAAACCTTCAGCGACAATGTCACCGTGTCGCCACGGTTCCGCCAGCTAGGAGGATCAAAATTTAGGATTTTACGGCCTTAAGACAATTGTAACAATTGTTGCCCAGTCAAAATAAATAAAAAAAAAATAATTTATAAAAACGAAAAAAAAAGTCGTGCTTTGAATTAGTTCCCAAAAAGCTGGAAATGATTTTATTTTACCAAGGGCATCTCATAAAATAATAATATGAATTTGCGACGGTTTCTAACAAGAGCTCAACTTTTGAGAGCCAAAGAATTGCAAAATTTTACGAATTTTCATATTTTATTACAGCTGAACGATACATCATACACAAAATTTTGTATGTATCAAAATTAAAAAGCATTAAATTTTGGACTGAATGGTTTATTTTTAGAAGTCGAATTTAATTTGATGGCTTGGTCTGAATTAGTAGTCGCAAAATTTTTCGCTTCTCTTGAAAAAGGCGTTAAGTTCACTTTCTAACACCTGTGACTAAAGTTTAACCTTTAGCAGGGTAAAATAAAGATAAATTTAACTTGTTTTATTCTCACATTAGAAGCAGTTGAATTAATTATATTAGACGTCATTGAGTGTAAAAGCTAGAAAGATACACTTGAGTCACTTTGTACAAATGGTAGATAAATGCTTATAGTAGGGGTGCACTTGTTTTTGGAGTACAGGGCCACTAGCACAGTAAGTTGACTTACGAAAAGACGCACACATATATAGTTATGTTGACAGCAATACTGTAATTTTTAAATAAACCTAAGTGTTTTAATCGTTAAATCAAATCCTTTTTACCAGTTAACTTAGTTAGATATTTGCAGAAATAAAATACTTTTGAAAATTTAATTTTTAAAAGNGGCATATTTTCGAATCATCCTTTAAATAAACCTAAGTGTTTTAATCACTAAATCAAATCCTTTTTACCAGTTAACTTAGTTAGATATTTGCAGAAATAAAATACATTTAAAAATTTAATTTTTAAAAGTACAAAAAGCAGGAAAATATAGGACACTTTTAAATATCTGACACTTTTCATCAACTTTATCAAAATAAATTTATTTTGATAAATCATTAAGGGAGAGTAATGGGTTTTTTTTTATCACAACACATGAAAAAATTCTAACAATAAGAACTGCAATGCTCACAGAATGAAAGTTAAAAAAAAAGGGGGGGCGTTAAAATCATTTGATTTAAACAAAACCATTACAGTAAAAATTAAGATTCATTATTTAATTGGAAATGTACTTTATTTATGAACTATTAGAAGTTTCATAATAAAATTTTTAAATAGTAAAAGTGTTTTTTTCTTAAAAATATAAATAAATAGTTACAAAAATCTGAAAACAAAATTACAGAACAAGCTGTTAAAAATTCACGTTTATTTTCCTAATTTCTCGTTTTGCAATATTATTGTCCAACAAAGGATAAGCTATGCTTTGTGCTATGTAGACTAAAGCAAAAAACACTTGAATAAAACACAAACGAAAATATATAAAGGGACATATTATGGTTTCAGTTCTATAAATAAGAGCTTTCTTCAGTCTCTAAACACGAAATCTCTCTCTTACTTTAGTTTTTAGTTAATAATATTGTATTAAAATTTCCAGATTTTAAATACTATGTGGAAATGCATGCAATACACCAGGATATATGATAAACTATAGATAAATAATTAAACATTTCTTAAACAAACTCCTGACTATTGCAAGTTTAGAAAAGATGGGGGGGGGAGGTTATTGTAGAAAACACTTTTTAACAATTTTCACGATTACAAATGTTTAATTTTTTACTTATCAACATCTTAATGAAAATTTAATAGTATTTCTCTTCAACTAAAGGGCTATTCATAAATGATAACAAGCTTGGAAAGTAGTGAAAAGGCAACAATAAAAAGTGGGGGCATTACACACTTTGGTTAAAATAAAAACATTTACAATGAAGAGATTTAATATTTTTAAAATTGTTGTTTTTATATTTCATAAAAATTACTTAAAATTATTTTTAGTTCTACAAATTTCCTTAAGACAAAAAGCTTTATGTTTAAAAATAAAGTTTGAAACGTGATTTGTTATGTAGTGCTTTGTTTCTGAACTGCAAGTATCGTTTACTTATTAATGTGTGACATGTAACAAGAGGGAGGTAGGGTGTATGGTGAAGTGTGACACTGACACTTTGTGACAAGGGAAAGCAAGGCCAAAAATATTGCGGGGAAAATGTGACATTATTTATCAAAAACCCTTAAGCTAATATGTAACAAATTAAGGAAATATAAAAATAAGCACATTTTTAACTCTTCAACTATTAGACGAGGATATCTCCGCATCCTGATCTGCCATGCCAAAAACAATCGCTAAGCCGCCAAATAAATTTTAAATTAGAAAATTTTTTAAACCAACTGTAGAGATTTGCCCAGTTGTGGTTACAGGGGATATTTGATATTTTCATATCGTGATCTGTCACGCCAACTATCCAAATAAATTTTAAACTTCTACATTTTTTAAAAAAAAAAAATAAACGTGGAGATGTTTCCCCTGCCTAGATACTTTTTCGGTTGGTCCCTTTCTGTGATGTTTTTTTTTTTTAGTTCTTCGCAGGCCATCGCCCGAACAATAATTTGACAATTATTTTGCTACAGATCACAACACAAAATTTTTATACTTTTTAAGTTGGTCTCCCTTTATGTTTTTAGTTTCTCACAGACACAACCTGAAAATCGCCACAATTTAGCAATTATTTTGGTGCAGATATTGATACAAAGATTCTCCCAATTAGTCAACAGTAATAATTAGCAATACACTAAGATAAATTTAAGTGCAGTTATTTAAATTTAGAATACAAGAAGTTGAAGGGTCAGTTTTCAGTTTAACTTTTTTTAATATGTTAGTAACAATATAAAAAATCTTAACTGCAAACATTTAAATAACTTAATGAATTAAACATCCTTTGCAAACATTTTAATAACCTAATGAATTAAACATCCTTTGAATCCATTTTCGCATCCCCTGAATTTCAATCACTAAAAATTTAAGATTTCAGATGTATGATAACAATCAATTTTTTTGAACTGTGAAACTGAATTTTATTGTCATGAAAAAATAATAGATAACTTTTATAGTATGGCTCCTTGTTCTGTAAAATAAAATCAATAAAAGACATAAAAAATGTTACAACAGAGAATAAATATTCCTGAAATAAATCATATTGATTTCTACACAAGAACAAATGATTTATTGCAAAATCAAAACACGATGTAAAGATTCAATAATTCTTTCTATCTTATTGTATATATATATATAGATGTTTTTACACCAATCGCAAACACACAAAAGCAAAATAAAAAAGCATTTATTATACATATTAAATAATGAGCTCTAAAAAGTTGACTAAAAATTTAGGAAAAAAGAAATAATCAAAATTATTCATCGTATCTTACCTTTAAAAAATTAATAACCTATCACGGAAAATTGACTAAGGCACGTATAGGACACAACCAAAATATAATTTAGTATCATTTAGAAAGTAAACATAATTTGACAGCCATTAAATTTACCTGGCGATAGCGATGATTTTCATATAAAGGTTATCGATTATAAGAAGTATAGAAGATAAAGTATACACTAAAGAACCATTTACACTGCAACCAGCATTTCAATGTGATCGTGTGACGAAATTAACTGATCGTTAAGAAACGGTTAACAGTAGAACACTGAAGTCAAACATCACTGGCTGCGGTTAGAGTGAGAATGAGAGATATGTGATCAGCCTGCAAAGGGACCAAGAGTGTGTGGTATCGATCCTCAATAAACTGTTCTATCGTGAAGTGCTCGACTTCACGCGTAGGTCATTGGGCTAATACAGCAAAGGAGTCATCCCCTCTGCAGAGGATTAAAATTGTGATGGCATATTTTCGAATCATCCTCAGAAAGCTTTTTAGACCATCAACAATAGCCTATTGGCGACAGTCTGCTTAGTTTAGTGGGACGTAAACCAACAACTAGTATGTGATGGTATACAGTTCGAATGCTCCGTTAAAAAGCCATTCTCACTGAATACATTTTCCGTACTTCCGATCACCGTCGAGGGCAAATGCGTGCCAGTCGATTCGCGATCGCAACGCTCGAGTACGTCCTCTAGCGGGAGCCTGTAAATATCAGACATTAATTTATCACGTTTTCATTTAGTTCCATCAAAATCATTGGCAGAATCAGACGCTATTTTCTTAGCAACAAATAAAAATAAAAATTTCCCTAAAGAAAAGCCGAATAACTTGAAAAAACTCTCCAGAATATTGGGATATCTTTCAGACGCAGAACACGCCGAATATTTGAAGAAAAATTTCTCAATAATTTTTAACTTCCATTATCAACAAACTTGCAACTGATAACTTTCGATTTCGCTATCGCATACTGTTACAGACGTGTGTATTAAGGTAAAATGCATTTCTTCTGCCTTCAATTCATTACAAATTGAAGTGAAGTCAATATTGCTTTCGTCGTTCCAATAAATAAATGTGAATTCAGAACGTACAGAACTGTAATAGTTATAGAATATTCTTATTCGTTATAGAATAATATATATTTCTGTATCCATATAATTTGGAAAAGAACAATAAAAAATTTTCCAAATTACTTGAAATAGTGCCATTAGTGCTGATTCTTAATTAATTTTAATCGTTTTCTTGGTAAGTATTTTTTAGTTTTGAAAGAATAATTTCAACTAGAATAATTCAACTATTCTGTTTTTAGCTACATATTCAAATTCATATCAAGATCTTACAAGTATAAAATTTTGCTGTGTAGTATGTTATCTAAAAGTAATGAAGAGATAAAATATGTATCTATTATTTGAGAATAAAGTTTTCAAACAAGGAACATCATTTTGAAATTGGGTATAATATGAAAAAAACACACCCTTATGAAAATTTAAGGTATATTTAAGGTTGATTTGAGGTATTTTTGAGGTATTAAGGTTGTTTTGAGGTATATTTGAGGTATATTTAAGGTTGCAGAGAAAACAGCAATAAAAATTATACCTCGTAAAGGTTGTAATTAAGGTGTACGAGGTTGATTTATATATACTTCAGCTTGTTTTGAGGTTGTTTAAAATTCACTTCAAATCAACCAGACTGATAAGGAGATTTTTAAGGTATACCAGGTTTATTTTCTTACACTTGTAACAAAAGAGGTATTTTTGA